TTGGAGCGCCCGGGGGCAAGCCTGAGAACAACCCTTTTGGGGCTCGTGCTGTTAGGCTTTATCTACGTGAAGTTAGGGACTCGCAGTCTAAAGCTAGAGGGATTAGCTACGAGAAGAAGAAGAGAAAGAGACCACCACAGCAGCAGAATCCTGCTTCACTGATGCCACCACAAGCACCACCAGAGAGTACTACTAGTGCAAGTGAGAATTATCAGTAAGAAAAAACTAAGCTACTGTCGTAATCTAGCTATTTGAAATTTGGATTTTAAAAGAAAAAAGATCAATGAGTATATTACATAACTCATTACAACTTGATGACGATCTCTTAAAGTATGTTTGCTATAATTAATTAATTTTCCTTCTAGCTAAGGGTATTTCATTTTGTGTAGTTAATTAATTTGTTGCATCGCATGTGTAATATCGGATGTTGGGTTTAAGGAACCATTGCTAAGGTAGTCAGATTGCATTGCTGGATGATATAAGGATTTTGGTTCCTAGCTATTATTAGTGAGATCCATTAGTAGTAGCTAGTAAAACATGCCTGTGATTCGGCATCCAATTTTCATAGAAGAGGCTTTATGACAAGTAGTACTACTGGAATTGATTTGAAATCAAGTGATGTATCTTTTCTCCACTTTTTTTCTTTCCTTTTCTCTTTTATTTAGGGTTTTATAATAATACTGAGTTATAGGCAAATCATTCAGACAATAAAAAAGGTTCGTGTCAGATTTGTCAAGTAATATTTATGTATGCTCGTGTTGGCAAATCATTCTGGCACTAAAAAGGAATTGTGTCAGCTTGTCAAGCAGTGCCTTCATAATATACGTATTTTTACATATAAATGGTCTTATATTCTATAGACTCTGTTTGTGTTTGCCTTTCCTCCTGCTTCCTGTGATTGGTTTTGCTCACACCTTGCCATGTTTGCAAAACTTGCACGGATATGTTAAGAAGATCATATAGGAAAACCCTGTAAACTTGATGTCAGGAGTGGTAATTTAAGCTTAAAATGGAGTTTCTGCATCCAGATTTTACATCGCTAATAAAAGGTAGAAGAGGGACATTAGCATATACATGTGGGAACTAGCTATGAGGAGTAAAAAAAATAAAAGCTATTAACCTCTCGTTTCTTGTGTTATATAGCGTGGATGAAATCTTATCGTGTGTTTATTTTTTATGTTCAAGTTGTTTTTTCATGAGAAATATTTAATTAATATTTTTTACATTTTTTTAATATTCAAATATCAAAAATAAAAAATTTATTCTTTTATAATTGAAAAATATTTTTTCAAAATACTATGCATTGTATTACCATAGTCTCATTTGTCATACAGATCATCCTCCCATTTCTCCATCCTGTCATATCAATCCTGGGTGTTCCCCAAAATGGGTATCTCATTAAACAGTGATCAAGCTTGTAAAATGTATTTGAGGTGAATTATGTATACATGGAGCTCACACACGTAAACTCTCTCTCTCTCTCTCTCTCTAAAATGACAGTACACGTTCTGTGTAAGTTTTATCAACTGTCACACTGAATATCTCTAAGTTTGTAGAGTGGACTCATTATTATGATTCCATGCCCTCTTCGCAGTTCTCTTCTAATTTCCCCATCCCCATTTTCCAAGTCTTAGCTTATTTCCTTGATCTTTGATGTCTACACCTTTGTACTAGCTCCTAGAAAATTTTCATCTTTCTAATAATAGTTTTGTGGGGGGGTTAATTTTTGCTTCACGTTATTTGTTTTTGTATGTGTAGTTGTATTTAAGTTCGTTTAAAAAATGTGTTTGATTTGAAAAGATATCATATTAATATTTTTTTTAGTGTTTTGAAATGATTTTAATTAATATGCTAATGTAAAAAAAATTAATATATTTTTAAATAAAAAATAATTTTAAAAATTTCTCTAGGTGGAAAATGTTAAAATAATTAAGATTAAATAAAAAAAAGCTAGAATTTTCAATGATTTATTTATTATAAGTGCTTAATGTTAACCTAAATACAAAAAAATACATATAAATTAAACTAAAAATATTATTTTATTTTTATTTATAAATATTATTTAACAGAAAATATAATACCCAACACCAAGCATTGGTTTTATATTTAGATGTGACAATTTGATCTAGGAAGAGAAAACCCATAATTGGCACAAATCCACTCTAGATTTCTCAAATATATTCCTTCGATTTTTCAATAGATTCATAGCTACCTCTCTAGATTTCAATAGAATATCTATATTTTCTTGCTATTATATTTATGTATAACCTCCATGATAGCTTCTTTTTTTTTTTGTTAGAATTTTGAGACCATACAATAAGTTTCTTTTAAAAATGTATTATATGAGTTCTTGTGGTCCCTAAAAAGAAAATTCAGTCGTAAATTGATCGGAAGATACTCCTGACCTTAAGAAAAAAATATTAATGTGGGTTCCTACAACTAGCTAGGTTGCCTGAAGATGTTCTGAAATCCGATCAAGGGACAAGTTCAAGGATAAGATGCATAAGAATTTGATTTAATAAATATCTTTAGATGCTATGAAAACTCATATTAATTGTTGACAAGATATGGGTAGTTATACCTTGTGCCTGTTTTATAGTACTCTATGATTACATGAGGCTATATATTTTATTAAATCAATCTTAATAATCACAATTCTTACAGAAAAGAACATACCGCGAAAGGACTTTCCTTCTTTCTTGTATATATCTTTTGGTGCATTATTGAATATTATGATATGCTAAAACCAAACACAGGCATTATTGAAAAAATGTTGATAATCTTAGGTGAAAAGAAGTTAATGCACTTATAATATTGTTAAATTACCTATCTTTGAAAAAGAATGCTGCATTTAATGTTGATTGACAGGCAAATGTATGAAACATGAATGGTTTTTTAGTGCTATTATAATCTTTTAATTATTTTTATTGTCATGACTTTAGGCATTAATCAACTCCATATATTATAAATTGACAATTCCATGTTTGGACCATGTCCATGGATTTGATCAGCATTTCTCTCGGCTTTGCACGCACGCATCCGGGGAACTAGACGAGTCAAAAGACTGTGATCACCATCGCTATTATGTAAAATTATATAGGTTATATGCAATCTTCAAGGATTTAGACAAGAATTCCATAAAAATGTCCCTCACTTTTTCAAACCTCTTGATGGGATAGAGCAGCGTTTGTTTTAGAATTTAGCAAGGCTTGATTTTGTCCGGTGTTAATTTTATTGATTTCCTAGCCTTAAAACATCTAGCTTAGTAGAATTATTCGATTATATTGTGTTTGGGGGTAGCTTAATAGGGAGTAATTTATATGGAGAATGGTTGCTGGTAAATGGAGGTCTAGATTGCTGCTGTAATTGCGTAACATGTAAATTATAGTAACCACTTTGCACCTACCACGGATTAATTAGAGTGGAAGCTAAGATATCAATTTTTATAGGGCTGGTATGTGATAAACTATGGTGTCTGAGATGAGCATGACCTCCTTCGGTTCAGTCCATGATCTTAAAAGTATTTCATGGTCGAGTTACAGCCTCAAGAAATTGATCTCTTTGTTATGAAAATATATACATGTTTCTTCATCTTCTTTGTTTTTTTGAAGTGAGAAGATTTTGAATTTGCTATAGCGATGTGAAATGTGTGTTTTACAATCATTTAAATACCAGATTTAATCTTGTTTGAAAGCTTATTCATTGCTGTTGAATAAGGAAAAAGACTTGTTTGTAAAGGTATTCATTGCTGTTGAATAAGGAAAAAGATCTAAGTTTCTCCTCAAAAGCTTATTATATACGCATAGAGGCCTGACCAGTTTTTTGCCTTGCTTATTCACCTCTTAACAAAAAAGAATTAACATCTACTTTATCTCTTTTGTGTTAAGAACAATAATTTGACTAGATTACCCCATGAAATGAATATGGTTTTCTGTTTTTTTTTTGGAAGTTGCGCGATTTTTGTGACACTAAATTGCTTTGTTCATAGTTTAGGGGAATAAGAAGAATTTGGATATATATTCTCACTTTGATGCCAGTCTGAGTTCCTTTGCCTATAAATATATGTATTCAATGCATGCCAACCAGTTGGCTAGCTCTACTTGAAGTTGAGTCGATGTGCTGGTATTGAACTTGAAAGCCTTAACAAGCCAACTCCGTCTCGTGGTTAACAAGCGAACTCAATTTGGCATAATGCATCGTACTGACTTTAACTCACCGTACATTTGACCTACCTAGCTAGCCAAACTCAGCTAGGCGATCCGCGGCTTGTTTTGTTGTTGGCACCGATGCTTGTATCATGGTTGGGTGACGGAAAATATAGCAGCAAACCAAACAGACCATGGATTGTTGTGTTTTTTATTGCCAATGGATTCATTTTGTGTTGACCTATATTAAAGATGGGTGACTTGGTGCCCTAGTATATGAGCTGCAATGATCACTGTGTGTGTGTGTGGTGCAATGGTTACTCTTGTGGATGCTTATTTTTTAAGGGCTCTGGTACGTGGTTTTTGCTTCTTCTTACGGAATTTGGAGCCATGTAAATATAGATTTTCTGAGGCAAGTAGCTGTGGCTCAACTGGAAGATATCTTGAGTTCAAATCTTTTTGTAAACAAAAACAATAATAAAATACGTTTTGGAAATTAAAAGGGAATAAAGATGTTCATATTTTTATTTTTTGCAGAATTTGCTTTGAAAATCTTCTCACATGTGGTCAAGCCCTCCTTATACTCTCCTTGTCCGATATAGGGATCGGGCGCCGGTGGCCTCCTTGCCCTCGGGGTGAAGAAGATATCTAGGTCGACCTCTTTCGAGGGTTCTTGTCTACCCTCGGGGTTTTTGTTTTAGTTATGTTTAAAAGTATGGTTATAATTGTTTTTTATTTAAAAATATATTAAAATAATATTTTTTATTTTTAAAAAATTATTTTTTATATCAACTTATGAAAATAATTTAAAAATAAAAAAATATTAATTTAAAATAAAAAAATTAATTTTTTTAAAAAACATAAAAGTAAACAGAGATTAAAATAACTAACCAAGCACCTGTGGACTTTTCCTGTCAACGCGTCTAGAAATGGGTGGCCGGAGTAAGAAAATTTCCACTGCTCCGCGGAGACCAAATCCCAGGTCAGCCAAGTCATTGCATTGAATTATCGCGTTAAGTCTTGTGATTCATAAACGAAGATTTTTTCTCAATTTTTCTAATCCACTCTTAATTTTTTAAAATGGGAAAATTTCTCGTGAACTAGCTAGGTGCCAAAAAATAATTTTCATTATTTATTCCCTAGTCCTTACACAGTTTACCCCTTTTCATGTAAGTCCATTTAAAAATTGCACTAATACTCCCTCCACTGGTATGTTTTTTTTTTTTTTTTGCATGTGAAAAAAAAGCCGATCTCCACAAATATTGTTATTGTTTAGGATTTGAAGAAACTAACGTTAAAACTTGAAAGAGTTTTCTGTCATAACCACTGGAGCTGAAAGTGGCTAATGGGGTGCTGGTGGATCGCCCTTGCGGGGTCCATCAAGTAGGACTAATTTCTTAAACGTATATAATGGAACCACGTGGCAGAGGTTCAGCTCGTGAACCACTCGGTCCCGTCCCAATAAGTTAATGTCCATATTTTCGAATGAATTGAATCTAACAACAAACTATTGTTTTATATTTTGTTGTTGTTTTAAAGTATTTTT